TAGTAAGACTACTGCATGAGGACAACTAGGACTACTAGGACTACTTGATAGGTAATAGTAGGACTACTGCATGAGTGCAACCAGTACTACTAGGACTACTAGGTTGGTAATAGTATGACTACTGCATGAGTGCAACCAGTACTACTAGGACTACTAGGTTGGTAATAGTATGACTACTAGAACTACTTGTTTCTAATGAAACTTTCTGTGTGTAGGTAATGAGGATGCTGACTTCAGTGCTGCTGACTCGTTGACTGCATTGAGGAAGAAGGCTGAGGAGGAAGCAGCCAAAGAGAAGGAGGATGCTCTGGAGAAGAAGAAGGCCGAGGACAAGAAGAAGGCCGAGGAGAAGAAGAAGGCCGCGGAGAAGAAGAAGGCCGCGGAGAAGGAGGCTGCAAAGAAGAAGGCTGAGGAGGAGGCAGTCAAAGAGAAGGAGGCTGCGGAGAAGAAGGCTGAGGAGGAGGCAGTCAAAGAGAAGGAGGGTGCGGAGAAGAAGGCAGCTGAGGAGAAGAAGGAGGCTGAAGCGAAGAAGGCTCAGTGGGAGGCTGCAAAGAAGAAGCAAATTGAGGAGGATTCGGACGAGGATCCCGATGCGGAGAAGAAGGCAGCCGAGGAGGAGGCTGAGAAGACGAAGATAAGAAGGCTGGATGAGGAGGAGGATTCGGACGAGGATCCCGATGCGACTCTACCTCCGAGTCAACCGATATTTACTCAAGAGGCATTGCAGGTCAGTAATAGTAGTAAAACTAGAACTACTGGATTTGTAATACTAGGACTACTCGGACTACTAGATTCGTATTACTAGGACTACTTGGACTACTGGATTCGTAATACTAGGACTACTGGATTAGTATTACTAGGACTAGTCGGACTACTGGATTTGTAATACTAGGACTACCAGTTCGATTTGTCTAACTTTAACAATTTTGTATTGTTTTTTTGTAAGGTCAGCCGAGTCAACCGATNCCGGNAACTCNGGNAATCACGCCTAATATGAAGAAGAAATTGAAGAGATGGATTGAGAGGGCTAAAACTCCTAGGCCAAAGAGGGAAAGCAAGCCTTCAGCTGCGATGAAGACCCCTTATGTTCCTAAGTGACTTTATAAACTATTTATTTTATGTTGAATTTATGTTGAATTTTATTAACTTGATTTTATGTTGAATTTTATTTTTGGTTCAACTAGAAATACTGGTACAACTAGCAGAAAACAAATGAGCATTAATGAATTAAACACGTGCTAGCCGACAATTAATTACAAAACGTGCGCCGCCTTTTAATGGTCACGTGCGCCGCCTTTTCCTT